ACCTATGGAGGACTCACCTTTGTATCAGTAGAGACATTGTAATTACAGTATCAGTGTCATTATCATTATCAAAGCAGTACATCCTTGAGGCTACTACTCTGGATACTAGAACATGGGGGACCCTTTGTGATCGACCCACCACCCATAGGACACCACTGCACACACACACACACACACTACAGAGCGGCAGCCAGTGTGCCGCAAGCTGATGAACATAGAGAGAGAAAATTGAACCAATTTTGTAGAAATTTTGAGACACAAACATACAATATGATATACAGCTGTGTATTTATTTATGAATGAAATGAAGACACAGAGAGCACCCCTCCATGCACACACACAAATATCTGAGGACTGAATGCAAGGTTCCCAGACTTCATTTACATTCAAAACACCCTCTCCCCTTGGTGCTGATACAGTGACAACTCTCTCCCTCACACTCACCCATTATCACACACANNTATCACACACACATACATACATACAGATGCACACGCATATTCCCTACAAACACTCACCCCCTCCTGAGGTGTTGGTGGCTGAGGAATTGCCACAACCCATTTTGCATCGATGCAGCCACCGTCCAAGCAGAGCGGAGACGCTTAAGAGGAAGAAGGAGGAGAAGGAAAGGAGGGAGATCCAAACCACATTGGGAGAGGGGGAGAACGTGGGGAGGAGATGAGAGAGAGAGAGAGACGAAAACAGGGAAGGTCAAAGAATTGTTTCCCACTGTAACACAGGGATCTCCTTTGGTAGTTCCCCTCTACCCTCCCTTCAGCCTTGCTCCTCTCTGCAATGCAATGGAAAGCCGAGAGTGAAGTGAAAGCATGGAGAAAGAGGCTTTTATACACACATACACTCCGAGAGAGAGAGGGGAGAGAGATGCTATGCCCTCACATGATTTGCTCTTTTCCTCCACCCGGACATGGTTGCCCGGGAAACCAGGGTATAGGAGGCGGAGGGTGGGGTGAAACTCAACCAATAGGGGGCTGCCTTTTTATATAAAGGTGGAAAAAAAATAAATGTATTCAAGGGGCATCAATATATCAGTGTGTGTGACATCCTGTAAAATCCTCAAATTGTGCTAAAACATAGAAGACTTTTTATTCATGCTTTTTTGTATCGCTGGGACACATAAACACAAACAGACATATCACGATTGTTTAAGCTCTTGACAAGTAATTGAAGCGAGAAGCTGAAAAACACTGAAACAGTCTTTTCACGAAACCACGAGGGTCATGCTTAAATCAGTTTAAAGCCCGCAATAAATCTCAATACATCCCTTTTCCTCTCCTTCAGTCACACTATTGTATGCTCTGACAAGACCAAGTGCAGTCATATGAGTGGAGTTTAGAGGGCAGGATGCATTACATTAGCACTCCCCGCCAGTGAAGAAAATTCTCACATTCAGTCAGTGGTGGTGTTATCTTATGATGTTAAGATGTCGGTCTGGCAGATAGTCAAGATTCTTATGAGATGTTTTCACTGAGAACTGCCTCCAAACTAAAATGGCATCAGAATTTCTCCTCCGCGTTTTTTGTGCTAGTTTCCCATACAGGCTTTTATGATTGCGAGACGCTATTCACTGGTAAATGAAATCACAGGACAGGTACAGAAAAATGTATACCGTTCAATCCACCTTAAAAGTTGGAAAAACGTTTTTTGGGAAATACACTTTCAAGCAAAGAGTTAGATGAGAAGATATGTCAGTTAAGTCCAGCAGCCGGTAAGCTTAGCTTAGCACAAAGACTGGAAACAGGGGGAAAAGCTTATAGTGAATATAAATATTGTTATTAGTAGATTGGTAAAGATATATCGCCAAACAGTTAAATTGCGATACAAATATATGAAGATTCAAATACGGATGTGATATAAATCACGATATTAAGGCGCAGTGACATTAGTTTCACTTCTCCAAAGTAAATGTGCATTGTTTTGCACAGTTCATACCCTACCTCAGAAATTAAAAAAAGGTTCTATAATTTGATAAAGAAAATATAAGAGACATTTTATATGCTGTTATTTGTCTGGGAAAATCTTTTTCAGTCATAATTTGCCTTCTCATCTCATCTAATTACTCAATTGGTAGAAAATTGTATCGTGAACCCAGTATCGGGAATTGTGTCAGATTGTGAGTTACATGTGTCCTCTACATCCCTAATTAGTAGTATAGTAATAATAGTTGCCTGGCTCTGTCTAAAGGTAACACCATCCGCCTTAATAGGGGGTTGTGGGGGTTATCTGGCTTTTTCTTAGCTTGACTGTGTGACTTCCCACATATCATTGAGAAAGAGGTAGGAAAATGCTAGGTCAGTTTGTGCATTATTGTGCATATAGTGGATAAATTGATCTATTGATTATAATTCTTATAAATAGTTAGCTAAAACAAAACAAATGCATATAAGCAGACCAGAAGTTATTTGGCAATGTCCTGATATGTAGATTTTAATAGAAAACATTTGAACTAAGTGCCATTATCTTGGTGTCTTTACATTATTTAGTTAACTATTGTAACATGGTTCTATTTACTGTTAAATATTGTAAGCCAGCCAGCATGAGGCTATAAGCTTTTCTGATGTTAAAATATGGTCTCATTTTTACTCTCATCTCACTATTATACTATTATGCTTCCACTTAAATTACAACCAAGTGATGTGAGCAAAACACTGAACAGTGCTGTCTGATTTCTTGCATATACTGAGAGAGAGAGAGAGAGAGAGAGAGAGAGAGAGAGAGACGGCTGTGGCTCAGAGTGTAAAAGCGCTTTGAGTGGTCAGAAGACTAGAAAGGCGCTATACAAGTACAAGGACCATTTACCATTTACCATATTGGATATATTCCAAACTATATAATTTTTTATGAATTGTTTAATTGAAAAAAATGCTGTGAAATTACGCTACTTTAATGTAAGTATATTTTAATAAATATTCCATGGTAGGCATTTAATCCTTAAAGTAGGACTTTACTTGTACATGTTGAGAACAATATCATGTTCTACAAATGTTGTATAAATAAAGAAAATGTCATGAAAAGGTCTGAATACTTGTGGTTAATTAGTATAAGCCCCCTTTTAGATAATGGGTGAATCAATATCAATTCAGTGTCACTCATGGTTGAAAATCTGATGTTATTTAACATTAAACATAAGTGTTTTTCATTTTCAGTCATATTTTGCTTTCTGGGTCCTTTTTCGTAGTGCCCAGAGGTTCACATTTGTGCTTTTGTGAAACTATTGGATGGATTGCCATCAAATTTCAAACACACATGTAGCGCTACACATCAGGTCAAATGTTTCATTTGTTTTTACCATGAAATAATGGCATTGCCATCATTATCAGCTGTAATTTGTGTTTAGTGGTAATTAGCAAGCAAATGTTTGTAAATGTGTGCAAATTACATGCTAACCATTATACCTCTTATTAACATAAACATGCTTTATCTTTGCGAGCAGACTCACACAGATGCTTCCTTTGAAGGTACATTTTGGCCACAAAAGGTACTTTACTTATACTTTTCTTTAAAGGTTAAGTGTACAATAATTGACTTGTAAGAATGGTGCTTTCATGTACTTGTACTGTCCCAGTCAATCATTAAACAATTCCTCTCTACTTTCTCCTGAGAGTGTATTTCCTTTGTCAGCTGAATCATTGTTTTGTTGAATCCAGGTTAGTTCCACTGACATCTATTTTTATAGGCCAGACTTAGCCGAGCCAGCAAACACAATTAATTAACGAAGTCAGTACTGAAATGCTTTATCTAATTTAGAGCCACAACTTAACCAATTAAACAGCACAAGTCCACTGGGGAGGAAAGAATGTGCTCAGGCTGCCTGGGAGCTTGATGAGGAGGCACTGCTTGTCACGGCTAGCCTACATTACCAAGACACAGCACAACAAGACATGACCATCCAAACAAGTCAATAAGACAAGTTATTGAGACCTAAAATGTCTAGGATCAAGTCGAATAACTGAGACCATGTCAATGTTACATCTTGCGTTTAATCTGCTTTCTAGGGTTTCTTTAAGTGACATTACCCTGAGATGTATCTCCTTAACAACTCGTTCTCAAAATAGATGTGGCAACAACATACATACTGTGATCCTTGTGCTCCAGTACTCCTCATTATGTACTCACTATTAACACTTTTCATTCCAAACTAAGACACGTATTGACTGTATTATTCTTTCTACTCAGGCACCTATTGTTTTATTTACTCATGTATTTTATTTTCACCTGATCAAAAGTCATTAATCTATACCTCCAAATCTAACTCGTTTAAATATAGTAGATTACTTTACAGTATCTGATGTCAACAGACTGTTTCTGTCTTCAGTCTTTGCACTGTAATTTAATTATTACACAGGTCATTTTATACTTTTTATGCCAGATGTTTTTTGTTTTTTGGAGGTCTGTTAGATGTAACAATGGGTTCTTACAGGGCATACATTATGGTGGAAGGAGGAAGTGTGACATTAGAAAACATAGTCGTCAGAGTATCTGACATTTGGAGAGCACAACAGCATGGTGATTACTCACTTTATCATCCAGGGTGGGATCAGTCAAGGAAGGCATTTTTTTCCCCCGGATGTGTGCAGCCTCTGCAGGAAGTGTGAAGTAATTAGAGAGCCAGTAACTCCAACAATATTCAGCACATCACATGCTCTGCCAGTAGTTTGGCAATTATGACTGAGACAAAACAAGACGAGAGTTGGATGATGATCACTTCCAGGACTTATTGAGTAGAACTGATTTTAAAAGGCAAATGTAGTTCTCAACTATGTTAATTGCTGTATGTAATAAATAATTCCCAGATTGTTGCCCCATGACAAACATTTTAATGATAATCTACAGAGGAACCCAGAGCCTTGTTGATAATTCTATGCATCTAAATTTTGACATTAAATGTGGAGAGAACTGTCCTCAAACAATCACACGCACACACTCACAGAATTAGCATAGAAGGCATTGCTTTCTGTTTAAAAACTGTGTGATTTTGAACGTATTTATTGTTGTTTGTCTGTTGGTATGGTACTGACCTGAGCAAGTTGAAAGAACATCTAATCTAATCTCAATAAATTAAATGATTAGTCGTTTAGCCGAAAATTAACTGTTACATTGAAATAAATTGTGTTCATCATTTATTAAAAAATCCAGAAATTTTTTATTTTTTTTGCTTTAAGTCTGTTTTATTGTCAGTTAAATAACTTTGGCTGTGGACTGAAAAAAAATAAGTAATATGAAAATGTCACGTTGGTCCCTGGAAAAATCAGAAAAGCATTTTTTTTCCATCATAATTATAAATCCAAAAGTTCATTATTGAAATTAAAACTTTAATTAAAAACCATTGATAATTCTTTGACATAGTATTTCAGTACTTTAATATTAAACTCTGCAATTCTTCATATGTCCGCATGGGGTCACTGTTGACACTAAAATGGTAAAAAGTTAGACGTAGCCTACCTTCACTTTAATAGCCAACAGCTAACTTTGTTATCAAACAAATCATATTTTCAGAACATAAGTAAATCAAATAAAAAACCGTACACATATCTAGTTTAAAGTCAAAGTGCAGCTGTTTTTACTAGTGACTAACGTTACATGCTCTCTGGCGGTGGATGAGCTCAGACTTGGGCCAACCTCCAACCTCTACGTAACCCTCTCACCCGCGCGGAGACTTCTGGGAAACCGAGTCCACGCAGTAAATAATTCAAGCTCCCATTCCTTCTCCTCCACCGCTAGGTTAACAAGATGCCGGCCGTACATCACAAACTGCTCCTGGAGGATGCTTTACAGGACAGTCCTCAGGTAGGCCCGTGTGTGTTATATCACGTTTAAAGACACAACTGTCACATAAAGAGACGTTAGACGCTGAAGTTAGCTTACTAGCCCAGACTAGCTTCTTGCTCCCGTTGTAGGCGGTTTCCACTGGTCGATGACAGCTCCCTGTTGACACATTGTTATGGGAATGTAATCCTCTGTCAGGGGTAGCATTGCCCTGCCGCTGTAAACAATGTCATAGTTTAACCAGCTCATCGTAATAGTCGGCATTTGTGTGTTTCTGGTGTGTTTTACAAAGCTACCGCTCGTCACAGGGCTCCTCTCTGTCATTGGTGATATTCTGTGCACACCCAGACCCTGTGCAAGATGTCACGACCATAGCTCAACCACAATCCCTCTCCTGCAACCCTTTTTATTTTCCAGTGTCGTATTCAGTTAGATATTGAGGGCTAGACTATATTCTGGAGCCGAACTGGGCCTGATTCACAGGATGTGGGAGGGGTTTCCATTATCGGACTCCCTTGGAATTAGTCAATAGCTTGCAACGGGGCAGCAGTGGTAGATGTCACTAGTGAATACCATATGTTGTTTGATGCTTAAAGGTTTGAAACGCAGTGTGGTAGTTGCTCACCAAGTCCTAGGCCTCATATAAGAGTATATTAGGCCAACTGCAGGACAGTCTTTGCTATTGTGCCCATCTAATGAAGTATTTTCTGCTGTCTGCTGCATCAGTCTTTCCCCTAACAGGGCTGACCTCTTTAGTGGTTCTGTTTAAGTGCAGCCCATGCTGCAGGGTCATTTATCTCTCTTTGTTTGCAGCTTTCTTCTTCACAATGCAGTTTGCTGCTAAGAGGAAATGGGGCTGCTGTCTGTCTACATTAAAATGTAAACACAGGCAAAGTTGTGAAGAAGACACTAATTCCAGACGATTTCTTCTTGGTGTGAAATGGTTCTCAATCCTTTTGTGGTGGAAGTCAACTGGAGTGAAATGTAAACAGACTTTAGCCGATGGGTGTGTTCCTCTCAGCTATATCTGCCCTGCCCTGCTGCACCTGTTTATAGAAACAACTACACCTAGACAGGATTCTCTGTTTGCATAGCCAGCCTGCAGTAAAATCATTATGCCTCTACTTTCACTTCAAAGCAGCTCTTCAGTATGCCTCACTCAGCCTCATATGGTTTCACTCAGCGTCTTGTGTCCTCTTCCCACTTCCAGCAAGCTTCTTATACATGTATTTTATGAGTTACAGGTTCCCACCAAACCTGATTCAAATTGTGTTTGTTTGTCTTTAACTTAAGCACTCATATGGGAATTATCTTGTCCAAAAACTGGATAAGGAACATTTGACACAATAATTACAGTATTCCACCTGAATTGTCCTGATGTAATAAACACACCCATTTGATTTTTATCACTTGTGGTTAAAACAAACATTTAAACTCATTTGGAGCTTATGTTGCCCCAAGATATGGTTAGCAACTAACAATTATTTTCATTGTTGATTAATCTGCCATTTATTTTCCTGATTATTCAGTTAATAGATGAATAGTTATTTCTATAAAATGTCAAAACGTTGTGAAAGATGCACATTGGAATTTCCCAGAGCCTAGAGGACCGCTTCCTTTTCCTGACCAACAGTAACAAATCCCAAAGATATTCACTTTAGTAACATATATGACAAAAAAAGCAGCAAATCCACACATTTGAGAAGCTTTGAAGTTTATCATTTTTGCTTTAAAAAGTATTAAACTGATTAGTCGGTTATTAAAATAGTAAAAGGATATGTTCACAGTTTTTCAAGACTGCCTTAAAGAAATGATCAGGTGCCCGTATGAACACAGAAACAGGTTTTGCATGCTGTGATCCTTCCTACTGTTCATACTGGCCATTGAAAGATCCCTTCGTGATGCACTTCTAATGTAAATCCTGAAGTCCTCATTCTGTGGAAACATGTTTTACAATGTTTATCTGAAGCTAATATGAATCATCAGCAGTCTGAGTTACGCAGATAGAGTGGATGTCTTCCAAAGTTGCAGTGTTTAGTAAGAAAGTCCCTCTTTTTCTAAAAATGCTGTTACTTAATTTGTCCAACTAAGACGGCTGAAGCGCTGTACAAACTTCAGATCAACTTTAGAGTGTATTTGTAGGCACAACAAGGAGCTGTTTCCGTGTGGGGCTCCTGACTGCTGTTTTAAGACGGACTTGAAACATAGTGAACCTAACTATTAGCCCTGTAGTTAATTGTCTGTTGATCGATAGAAATAGAATAGTTTCAGCTTTGTTTGCAATTCTCTAGCAGTTGTCTCGTCTGTTCATCCCTTTGTCATGTTCATCAGAAGAGTGTGTTCATGTTTTGTTCCACAGACTCGCTCCTTGCTCAGCGTGTTTGAGGAAGATGCTGGGATGCTTACAAACTACACCAACCAGCTGCTACAGTCGTTGCAGCGGGTGTTTGGCGCCCAGGTACTAAACAAGACACAAACAGATGCACATACAGAGACTCTGTTCCCGCAGCTGCAAGTGGCTTTGTGAAAGAGCCAAAACGTGTTCAAACACAATAAAATGAGGAGGATGTTTTGTTTTGTTTTTTCATCTGAAAAGAAGTCACAATTTTGGGTTGAACATTTCCTTTATTGAGCTACAGTGAGCCTGGTCTTGATCAGTGTCGGTCAGTAACTCATTACTAGTAATAATTCTTTCTTCCGTCCCAACTTGTTA